CACTTAGTTTTATTATTCCCACCCTGGTCAAGGCCACTATCTCTTCTTGCTTAGACTATGGGACTAGCTAACTAACTGGTATTTCCATTCCACTCTTATCCTCTTCCAATTTATTCTCCATGTAACAGTCAGAATAAACTTTAGAGAATTCCTTTGCCTAACATATTTTGGTGGCTTTCCATTGTAGTTAGGAGAACATCCAAAGATCCCTGTCATTGACTCAGACCTCTCATATCACCAACCTCCTACCTAACTCTTTAACCTGACCCCCCACCTTCCCCACCCTCCTCTGTGCACTCTGTTTTAACCACACTGGGCTTTCTTGGAGATATCTAAACTTGGCAAGCTTTTTTACAGCTCAGGGACTTCCCACGTGTTGTTTCTTCTGCCTGGAGAATGCTCATTCCAACTTCCTGTCTGGCTAACTTGTATTCAACCTTCAGGCCTCAGCTAAAATGTTATATCCTCAAGAAGGAATTTATTACCTATTCCCCCTTTTCTTAATTTATCCTAGACCCTCCATTTTACTTTCGTGCCAGTTGTGAACTTATTGATTCTCAGCTCCGAATTTACTTCTCAGTATAGGCTCCGCAATAATGGATGGAATGCCTTTCTACAGTTCTCTTACAGTAAGTGTGGTGTTAAGCTTTTTCAGTAGAGGGCGCTGGAGGCACATTGCTGGAGGAAGCATGGGAGCTCCTGCCTTTGCCAGTGGCTCAGGATGGGTCCTGCAGTGTGGGTATGTGGACACCTGGGGGTGTTCTGTCCCAACATGCTGTCCCTGTAGACCTTGCAGCTCCAGTGTGGCCTAGTGGTCACCTTCCTGTGACCCTCTCCATATGGCCATCTTATGCTGCAGGTCTCCTGGCCATGCTGGCACCCTGATTCCATGTGCTCACTTCTCCTCTTCCCTACATTTGTCTCCTGCAGTTTTCCCCATACCACCACCCTCCAGAAATATCTTTCCTACAAGGACACCTTGTGCTCCAGGCCTCCTGCCACACTGGCATCCCCACTCTTGTTACCTAGCCATGCACAGGCTACCTGTTTCTGTACATCTGCCCCATCTGTGATCCAAAGTGTTGCTTCCTGTTTGCCCTGTGATTGCACACTTGATCTGCAGGCCCCTGGATGGCCCAGCAAACCAGTGAGCTTCCCTGCGATTCAGTGGATTCAACTACATTTCCCAAGGAGATCTGAATCTCCAGCCTTGGAGAGGGGTCCTACTTCTAACTACTTCTAAGTTTGTCCTTGCTTGGGGACCCCCTCCCCCACCCCATACCATATAGTTTTCTTATAGCCTATAGTTATTATGTTATCATAGTTTAGTAACTTTGTATTAAACTTCACTTATTTAAATCACTGTGTGATTATATCTCTTGGTTGGATCCAGACTGCTACTTTCTCTTCTCTCACCTTGTAATTTTACTTATAGCACTATTCAGAATTGCAATTTTTTTTGTGAATGTATTATTTTTTAAAAAATTTTTAATGGTTATTCATTTTTGAGAGGCAGAGAGAGACAGAGTGTGAGCAGAGGAGGGGCAGAGAAAGAGGCAGACCCAGAATCTGGAGCAGGCTCCAGGCTCTGAGCTGTCAGCACACAGCCTGACGCAGGGCTCGAACCCACAAACCGCGAGATCATGACCTGAGTTGAAGTCAGATGCTTAACTGACTGAGTCACCCAAGTGCCCCATGAATGTATTCCTTAATATCAGTCTCCTCTATGTAACCATTAGCACAAATAGGGCAGGTACCAGCTCTTTTTCATATATGTTTCCACAGTTTAGCATAATGCCTGGCTCATAAAAGCAGTTGATAAATATTTATTGCTTGAGTGAATACTGTATGGCTGAGTTCATTTTCTGCTAATTTATCCTGGCATGTTCTTATTATGCCCCCTTAATTCTTCTCAGTCTTTGCTGTCTATTCTAAAGATCATACATAATGTATTCTGGAATTTGTAGCTCCATAGGAGATCTGATTTTGGTCCTTCATCAAAAAAAATAATAATAATAAAGCCTTATTTTTATATTCTACTATCTCCACATTAAAACCTATTGTGCCAATGATGTTCTGTATCCAAACTGACTATAAGATCCACATTTCTTTCCCAATGAGGACTAGAAACAGTTAAAAAAATTATTTTAATTTTAACCACAATACCACCACACTTTTAATTTTTCCACATAAATTCTACCCCAGGATTCATACACTCAAAATCTTAGAGGGCCTACTGTGTAATTTAAATGACTGGACTCAGTGTAAGGAAATGAGGAGTACCAGGGATTATGGCAAATTGGACAGCACATGCTTCACCCGAATGCATTTAATTAAAAAATTTATAAAAACATCGTGCAAGCCAAACATAACATCTGCAGGCAGCAGCAGTCCCGAGATTGCCACCTGGCAAATCCAGCCCTAAAACACTGGATCCCATGAACCATTCTGAATTTCAAGAATGGGGAACCTAAATTTTTTTTTTTTTTTTTTACTATAAATGCTATTATGCATGCTGGTCGAAGGAAAATATTGGATCAGGTGGTTGAGAATGGTTGGGCTCAGTGCTGTATAATGAGAATGTTCAGGGACTGGGGTACTTGACATAGGTTGCTTTATGTATTTGTTTTGCTAAGGACGGCCATTAAAGAAAAGTTAAGGTTGTCTTGTCACTATGTCACATAGTGACAAGGAAACAAAAATTATCAGCAAAGGGTAGAAAGGATACAATCTCAAGATAAAGAACTCTCTATCCCATTAAAGAAAAACTGGTAAACTTGCATTATTGTTTTTGTTTTTGTCTTCTGACTGTAGATGGGAATGCACTTTGCCTTGGGACTCACCCAGGTTACAAATCAGTTCTATGAGAATTACCTTGAAAGAGCTTAGAAAAGAACATACGGTTACCAGGATCCCATTCAGGAGGTTTGGGGGAAGGAGATGGTTTTTGCATGTACTTTGGAAAACTCTGCAGGGGCTTCTGAAGCATACCCACATTGGAAACCTCTGGCCTATTTCACTTTAATAATCAGAATATATAGAGAACAAGGCTGGCTCATCATTTCTCATCTTGATTACAGAGAATCCTATTTTCCTGCACTGGAGGGAGACAAAGTTTTTTCAAAGTGGCAATGGCTCACATTCCTGCAAAAGTCAGACACCTCTTTGTGTATGTCACGAATAAGTGACTCACAAGCTAGGAAAAGGGATTCTTCACGATGATTCAATGTGCAAAATCATTCCTCATTTTACAAAGGGTATTGATTTCTTAATTGATATATATTTCTTTCCTTGTTTCAGAAAGTAAGATTGTGTCACATACAAGGGAAACAACCCAAACTCCTGTTTTTCACACTTATTAGAGGTAGCTCACACATGTGGTTCTGAATGAAGCCAACAGGGTAGAAGTCAGTAGGACACAGTGAGCTCGTCTTTGAACTGGATAGCCCATGTGCTCCTAGAAGAGGCAGCTGCTAGTCAGCTCCCACCAACTGTTGCTAGGGAATTTTTTTCTTTTATGAAATTTATTGTCAAATTGGTTTCTATACAACACCCAGTGCTCATCCCAAAAGGTGCCCTCCTCAATACCCATTACCCACCCTCCCCTCCCTCCCCCCCCCCCCCCCCCCATCAGCCCTCAGTTTGTTCTCATTTTTTAAGAGTCTCTTATGCTTTGGCTCGCTCCCACTATAACCTCTCTTTTTTTTTTCCTTCCCCCCCCGCCATGGGTTCCTGTTAAGTTTCTCAGGATCCACATAAGAGTGAAAACATGTGTGTCTGTCTTTCTCTGTATGGCTTATTTCACTTAGTATAATACTCTCCAGTTCCATCCACATTGCTACAAAGGGCCATATTTCATTCTTTCTCATTGCCACGTAGTACTCCATTGTGTATATAAACCACAATTTCTTTATCCATTCATCAGTTGATGGAGATTTAGGCTCTTTCCATACTTTGGCTATTGTTGAGAGTGCTGCTATAAACATTGCGGTACAAGTGCACTGAGGAATTTTTCAAGAGAAGTTGGAAATCAGGATTTCTGTGAGAAATCTCTGAATCTTATGATGTTTGCATCTGATTAAGCAAATTAGGGGCGCCTTGGTGGCTCAGTCAGTTAAGTGTCCAGCTTTGGCTCAGGTCATGATCATGTGGTTTGTGGGATTGAGCCCTGCATTGGGCTCTGTGCTACAGCTCAGAGCTTGAAGCCTGCTTTGAATTCTGTGTCTCCCTCTCTCTCTGCCCCTCCCCCACTCATGCTCTGTCTGTCTCTGTCTTTCTCTCTCAAAAATAGGTTAAAAAAAAAACAAATTAAACACCATATTGCATAGGGGCTAAGAAAACACTTGCGCTGACAGGACATGGCCTGCAGATTGGTAGTTCACTTGAAGTGCCTTCCCCAGATCCCCGGGCACAGGCCCCATCCCACACCTGCAGAATGAGAAAAGTCTGGGAGGAGGACTGCATTTGCCTATTTGGAGAACATTCCCCCAAAGAATCCATCCTCCACCTATAGTCAGAAATCTCAAGTCTATTGAAATCTGGGAAATCAAACAAGGTATTCCAGGCAGCTTCTCGGAGGCTTCAGAAGCCTTGCTAACGTCAATCCCTGTAACCTAGGGAACAGTGTGCAGGCTCTGTGGTCCAGCGAGATGTTACTGCACTTTGCCTTAGTCCACTTTGATTTCTCTAGGGTACTAGGTATGCACTTTGGTTCTTATTTTCTGGGCTTTGATAAGGAAATTTTCACAGAGGATCTGAAAATAGGAATAAACGAGATAGAAATTTATGCCAGCCTTGATTTATGCAGCAGCAGAGAAAATAAATTACAATTCTCTGTACCTCTGAGGAAGGAAAACTCTAAAAGCCACGGGAGAGAACACTGTTTCCAGAATCCTACAACATGGTACCTTACAAGACACTACTTTGGTAATGGACTGACTGCACTTGCCAGGGTTTCTTGTTCCTACCCACTCCAACCTTACCTCTCCCCGCAAATTTACCTTCTTATGTCTGTAATAGTGGAGGCAGCCATCATGCTTCAGCACAAACCACCTCTTCCTCCAACCCTTCACAAAACCGGAGTGAGTCCTTTTATGTAAGTAGCCGCGGCAGGTGGGCCAAGGGGTATTGGGACAGCGACTGATGTCAGATCCCACCACCAGAGTCAAGATGTCTGGACCTAGAGAAACGAATTTGGGATAGTGCAGTGGCTGAAAATCTTAAACCAACAGAAAAGACTGTCACTTTTCAGAAGGAATGGATGAAAAGGGGGTTACAGTTTGCATACATGGGATAAATGAAATAGAATCCTACGATTGGAATGGATGAGAGAGTTCCTTAGTGATTCAATCCCTCATGGCGATGACGAAAATGAAACCAGGGGAGGTAAAGTGACTTCTTTGAGGGCCATAACTGGGTCATAAGGGGTTCAGTCAGATGTGGGACCTGGGATTGCCAGCTCTTAGTACTTTGTATTCAACCATGTGGTCTTGTCAGGTCTCATCATGGATGACTCAAGTCTGTTCATTCTCACTGTCTATAATAATGTCAAGCTAAATCTTTAACATATTTTGATTTATATCTGAAAAAGGAATATAGGTGATGTTTGGCTTTTCTATCTTACTTTTATTCAAGATAACTAGGTTCCTTGACCTGGGTTAGCTAAAGGGAGGATCTAAACCGCTAATACATCTGTCACCTATTCCTGATCAAAATCAATTATAAACCTTTGAACTTGGAAGTAGACAGAAATTCTAGGAAAGCTGAGGCACACATGCTTTTATCCCTTTTTCTTTCTGTCCAACTTAGTGCTGAGGGTTTGACTCTGAGCTTCCGTGTACGTCTTTCTCAGGGTGACTTCCTTGGGGCCTGTACCTCAGTGGTGCCCCCTTTCCTATATGATCAGTACAGTGCATAGCTTGGGGGAATTTGTCCCTGTACCTAATAATATAAGGTCACCATTTACCAATTGTGCTTTGATGTTGCCAGTATGGAAACAGACTTTCATCATATGCCTACCTCTTGATGCCTCAAGAAATTCTCTGAATGTCACTCCAACAGACAGCAACCCTGACACGCTTTGAAGACTGCAAATGGGGTATGACTTCATTTACAATTCCTCCGAGAGGGAGGCCACATCCCTGAAGGGGGACATTTGGCCTTAGCAGCGCTGACTTCATCGTGATGTCTGACATTGAGATTACCGATCTATTTAGAGCTGTCTATGGAAATGGGGGTCAGTGAGGAGACTCCTCTTATATAAATGACAAGCTCCAACCCAGGGGATCATTCCTGGCTGAGCCACATGGCCCTGAAAATAAAGATTTGTCCCAGAAAGGCTGACATGGTCTTAACTTTAGCAGCACGCAAAGCACCTTGGTAATTAAATAACTCTGTGTGTCAAGCTAATTCTTCATTGCCATGTAAATGCATTTTAATTTATTGAACTGCCCTTAAGCTCCTGTCAAAAAGACATCCAGAAAAATTAGAAGCAATGCTCCAGATTGACCGGCAACCCACAAATGTCTTTGTCTTTGGACTTTAGTCCCCGAAGGACCGCACTCTGGACTCATATGCATGGCTGACACGTCTGCCAATCTATTTATGTGGTGCTGCAGTCGCCTGCCCCTTGAGGTCATTTTCCTCTTGCTTACACACACTGCGTATGGGCTTCTCTGACACTGAGCAGGCTGAGCTTGAGCTTCAGCTGGCCATAAACATAACTTGGTTCACCAAAAAATTCTCTCTGGGGCAGGGACACAGATGGTCCTGCTGCCACGTGGTGTCATCATACTAAAGGAAAGTTTTTTACATTCGGAGTGAGGACATGATCCTGACACACAGGGAGTTGCCGAGTTCCAAACAGCTGTTGTGTGATGGTGGTTTTACAGTCTTTGCAGGTCCTATCAGGGGCCAGAGGGTCTGATGCTCAGAGAGACTTTAGATTTTTTATGTTATCTCCAAATAGATTATTTATATAGTCATTGCAGTGTGTGTGTGTGTGTGTGTGTGTGTGTGTGTGCGTGCGTGTGCATGAATGTGTGTTAAAGGAATTAATTGTGAAGTACGAACAGTGACACCCTCCTGGTTTTGTTATTATTTATCTGTTAATTTACTGGGAGCTAAAAATATGGAGATGCCCTAGTTTAGTGCTTCTCAACCTACATGCAGATGCAAATCACCAGGTGGGTTTGTTAAATTGCCATCTTCCTTCACTAGGTCTGGGATGAGGCCTGAGATCCTGTGTTTGTAACAGGTTCCCAGCTGATGTCAGACCACAATTTCAGTAGCAAGTAGCCAGGCAAATCTCGGTTGCGGAGAGGTCCTGCTCAGGAGCAGTCTTTGTCGCCAACCACCATGCTTCTTCCTTTCCTTGACTACGATTTAGTTTCCCCTGTATACTTTCATTTTCCATCCCAATATTTTGCAACAACAAAATTGTTAGTTTTTCCCCTTGCTTATGTCTTTCTCTAAGTGTCTCCCCACCCTAGAGAAAGGAATCACACAGCCATTGCCTTCCTCTACTGGACAGCCCAGAAATCTTGCTTGTTTGGGGGACATGGGAAGACAAATGGCCTGAAGTGAAAGAGTCAAGTGCAGATGAACGAGGTTGAAAATCCATGTCTTTAGCAAATACAGCTCTTTGGTGATGATGCCCTTTCAAAGAGAAGCTCTCTGGCAAAACTCTTCTTCCCTAGCACTTGGGCCTAGAGTTTGGGAAGTAAGGTGTTATGGGTGAGGTTATTTACAGCTACAGGAGAGAGAAAAATGATTTCTTTTTCTAATTCACACTTTCTCTTTGGATCACTGTCTTCTTATTATGCCACCAATCTTCAGCTGTGTCGGAGTCGCACCTCGGCTGTCAGACAAACTCCACCACCCTTGCAGGTGCCGAAGAGAAATGTGCAAGACGTGCGCTGTCCCCGGGGCTGCGTGGTGGGCTGGCACTGTGTTCATCTGCCCAGGTCCCACATCCCAATGCACTTCTGTACTTATTTTTACTAAAGCTGTTCTTGGTGAGACAAAGGAATGGAACGGCCCCAAAGGACTTCCAGGTTGATTAAAGCTTCATTGTTTTCCTCTCCTCTTTCTTTTCTGTGTTTTTCCTTGATGATTAAATCTCCTATTTCAGTCTGCAAGCACTTAGCCCTACAAAAGCCCCAACCAGAAGGATGGGGGACCTAATGAAATAAACATTCACATGGAGCTATTGTTATTCCCATTGGGATCCCAAACATTTTTTAAAAATCTGCTTTAGTCTTCCCATTGGCAAAATTAAGGTAATTTGTGCAGGTGTGTGTGTTTAGTATTTCTGAATAGGATTATTATTTGATAATTTTAATTTTATATTATATTATTCTATATTATACAATGTAATATATACTAATATATTATTTAGTATTATTGAATGGGACTATTATTTCAGTAGAATTGTTGAAAACTTGATCTTGTTACATATGGTAGATCCCTTTTCTATGCTAGTCTGGGGAGACATGATAAAGCCTGTACTGGAAGGTAACAAAATAGACTTTTAATCTTATGGTTGCAAACTTTTGGCCGGCCATGCCTCCAAGACGCTGAGCTCTGTGCTATGCTGGGCTTGCTGTGAAGGAATCATCAGGGAGAGCTGATTAAAATTACAAACATGCAGGCCACCACCAGGAATTCTGTTTTTAAAAGAGATTCTTGCGTGAGTCTGACATACAGTTAGATTTCAGATTTAAGGTTTTGAGGAAAGTGATTTGATGTTTAGATAATCTAAATCAACAAAAGAGCAACCTGTAATAAAATAAGATTTTACAAAAGTTTAAAATACATAGGAATGAAACTGTACAGAAATATAGAGAGGTAAAAAAAAGATATCAGACTTTTAAGAAGTTTATGCAAACAGGTACAAGAGGCAAGAGGAAACATTTAGATTTTTAAACAACCGCATGTTTGTTTGTTATTTTGTTGGACACTATGTAAATATACTTTTCAAGACCTCTATATATTATATAAATTTAACAAAAGGTCCATTTGTTATTTCATGATTATTGCTTTCTTCAACAAGTTGGTGACTTTTCTGTCCTAAAGAGAACCCCCTAAGAGCTTGCTTTAAATTCTATACATTCCAGAAACACCCTGCCCAATTAACAGCCTTGCTAAAATTGAATATGTAAAGCACTACATAAAAATTAAATTATTCCCATTATTTCTTTCCTTTTCTCTTCCCTTTTTTTTAGTTTCATGGTCATGTATATTTTTCTCATAGCCCCACTGCCTCTCTGTAATCCTGTTTTGTTTTTTGTTTTTGCCTTCCCTCATCATTACCACCTATAGATTTTAGAACATGGATGGAACTAAAAGTGTGTGTGGGTGCCATTTAGGAGGTCTTCGTCTGTTGCTCACGAACTTGGGTGCAGACTGCTGAGCCCATCATAGCACTCAGGTTGTTGCACACAATAGTCTTTGGAGTGCAGACCCCTTTTGTTTTGTTTCACTTTATTTTCTGCCTCCATTCCCAATTCTTCTCACACATTCTGCTCCTCACAATAGGCACTCACAGAACATGTTTGATATAGGACTGTGGATACACTCCTTTGTGTGTGTCTTTTTATTTCACACACACGGTGTTATGCTAAGATCTCATTCTATTTCTCTCTTTTTCTCCCCCCACTCTAAACCACGTTTTTTAGCATCTACCAATGTTGCTGGCCAAATGCACATCTTGTATATTGTTTCAAAGTGAGGCACAGAGGTGCAGAGTATGCATCTCTTGTTGGTTTCTTTATCCATTGCCCTAGTGATGGTCACTCAGACTGCCTCTAACTGTTCTCTATCACACAGAATGCTGCAATGAACGTCCTTGCATATGTCCTCTCAGCAGTTTCTTTGGGCTTATAGCCACAGAAGTGCAATTGCTAGGACAAAGGATTTATAGGCACTTCACTAGATGTTGCCAGACTGCTCTCTGAGATGCCAGTAGCGCAGCAAGAGTACATGAAGATTCTCATTTCCTCATTTCCTTACCAAAGCTGGCTATAATCTGATTTCTATTTATTCCCCTAATCTGGTGGATGTAAAGTGTCACCTTGCTGTTAATTTGCATTTCTCTGATCACAAATAAAGTTATTATCCTAGTTTCTTTTATTGACATTATGCTTATAACTTAAAAATCAAGGACTTTAATACATCTGAAGTCCACCTTTATATATGGTATAAAATATAAAGCATAATATATGAAGGTATGAATCCATCCAATTTATGGTTCTCTGTAAAAATGATGCAGTAAAAATTTTATCCTCTCCTCATTGTGCTGCTACTTTTATCATATATCAAGTTTTAATAAGTACTTGAGTGTGTTTCTGAGCTTTCTAATCCATTCCATTCCACTGGTATATTTCTGTGAATGCCACCCTTTTTATTACTTATTATTATGGTTTTGCAATATACCTTAATATTTGGTATGAAAGGTTCCTTTGTCCTTGCTAGCCCTATTCATAAATGATCTAGCTATTTGTAGACTTTTATTTTTCTACATATATTTAAGGATAAGTTTGAAAAGCTACTCAAACATTTTTAATAAAATTTTATTGAAAACTTATTGAATATTTAGATTAATTTTGGGAGAATTAAGATCTTTACAAAGTTTTTCCATCCATGAGGATACTATATATCTCCGGTTATTTAAGTCTCCTTTTATGTACTTTGGTCGAGTTGTAAATATTTTTTCATGAAGCTCTTGCATGTTCTTTGTTGGATTAATTCTTTCCTACCTTGTAGTGTTGCTGCTGTTATTAAACATATATTAGATTCCTTTTCTTTTCTTTTCAGTTATTAGTGGTGTAGAAGAACACTACTGATTTTTATAAGGAGACCTTGGTTTGGTCAATCTTTCTCTAATTAGTTCTAAGCATTGGTCTATTGATTTTGTTATAATCATATAATCTGTAAATAATAATAGTGTTATCTCTTTGCTTCCAGGTCATATACCTTTATTTCTCCTTGTGTTATTGAACAAGTCAGAACCTTAGATATCATGGTGAACAGAGGCTGTTAAAATTGGCATTCTTCTTCTCAGTCTCAAAAGAAATATGTTTAAAGTTTCTCTATTAAGTGTTTTGTTGTTTTATATATACTTTTATACTTTTCTCTTTTCACGATTAGGTTTTTGGTAGATAATCTTTATCAAGTTGTAAAAAGAAACTTCTCTTCCTACTATGCAGGGAATTTAAAATATATATACATTTGTTGAACTTTATTACATGATTTTTTGTTCTGTTGAGATAGTCATGCAATTTTTTTCTTTGGTCCATTAATGGGACGAATTGTACTAAAATATTATAAAGCCATCCTTATTTAGGGATAAACCCTACTTTGTTATGATGTATCATATGCAATTTTAATAAACACTTTTATTCAGGTATCTATTATTTTTTCTTAGGATTTGTGCATCTATACACTCATAAGTAAAAGGGACATATTCCTTCATTTTTCATACTACACTTACCCTGTTCTGGAATCAAGGTTAGAGTAGCCTAATAAGATGAACTGAGAAGCCTTCACTCTTTCCTAGTTTCTGGAAAACTCTACAGAATAGGAATTATTTGTTCTTTGAAAGTTGGATAAATTTCATCTATAAAAATGACTGGTATCTTGTGCTTATAAAATGGGGGATGAATTGGGGGTGGAAATGGGGGAGAAGTGAGACAGTCTCTTTCTTTATAAATACCTTTATTAGAGTCTAGACAAATTTCCTATTTATTCTTTTACTGATTTTGGCACTTTAAATACTTTTGGAAAATGTTCTTATTTATCTAGTTTTCACATTGTTATATAGTTGTTCAAAGTAGTATTTAATTATTTAGAAGTTTTACCTTTCTCTTTTTTTATTCTCTATTTTGTTTATTTGCATCTCTTTTTATTATTTCCCAATTAAGAGCTGTGTTATAATCAATTAGTCTTAGAGATTCAGCCTGAGGAAGAAGCAATCAACTCCGTAATACAGCTGGGCTCAAGGACCACCTACGTGTTTCCCACCGACCATGAGGAACAGGTGCTACCGTTTGTCTGGCTCTCGGTAGGGTGGTTAAGTTGGGTTTTGGCTGCTGAGCACCAAGCTGGAGAGAAAAGCTCTAAGAATACGTCCTTCAGCATTCTTTTGCGTGAGACACTTGGCTCTCTTCTACTATTGGCCACACTTCCCATCTCCCTGAACATACACAGGTATGAAATGGACTTGTTTCCCTATAAGTCTCTTACTCTCCTTACTGTAGCGTCTCAGATCTATAACTCACTTTCCTGCTTGTGAGGTATCTCCACTGTTGTGTTTGAGAAGGTTTAGCAAAGATACAAGGAGATTCTGAGGGTCAAGGTCTTCTTGGGGTAGGGAGGCCAAGCTGGTAGAACCCAGATTGTAACAGCAGATAAAGGCATGCTACAAATAACTGCCAGGAGCAGCACAAACTAGGGTGTTGAGTGTAGCTCTTTTCCAGTATCAATGTTAATTCATCATCTTTCTGAAACAGAAGAGAAAATCCTCTATTTAAGTTTTAGAGATGTTTTCTGCCTTCCATTAACTGACAGAGGCTGAATGGTTCAGTGTTACCAAGAATGTTAAGTTCCTTGGGGAAAAATAAAAGAAGTCCTAAGAGTGGAAATATTACTAACATCAGGTTTTCTGTAACTAAAAAATTGGAAAAGTAATTATTTGTGAGAAAGAACCTAGGAACAGCTAAATCCCATTCTTATGGGGGATACCACCAATTCATTAGTATAATTGTTACCATATTACCTTCATTTCTTATCTCTGCTGCACATAGGATAAATATTTAGGTAGGACTTACAAGTAGGTAGTGTACATGTTAACTGACAGTGTCCTTGGATTTCTGGTGGACCCGGTACATGACAAGTTCCACAGAAAAGCCACATATTCAGCTAAATTCTGCACCAAAAAGAGTCTACAATAGCTACTCAGGATACAAAATTTGTTAGTGATTTTCTCATCCTGGTCTACACTAAGTCTCTCTCTCTCTTGCTAACCCTCAAGCATGATGGCATCATGAGAAAGGACAAACAATATTTATTGTTTAGCAAGTTATACTTACGGCACATGTGGCCTAAACAAAATGTACAAATTTTTATAGCTCAGTGCCTGAGGATATATTTCAGGAACACAGAGATATGTATGCAGCCTTTGGGAGGCCAGGAATAGGACACTTCACCTAATAATCCCTTGATGGAACACAGCATTTACCAGTTATATATTTTTAGGTCTATGGGGAGATAAGGATTTGTAACATGGTGTCAAGAAAGTAACTTGTTTTGCAGAGTGGAAGACGGTATTAACCTTTCCACAAAATGTGCGTGGATAGAAGGGTAGGCAGGGGCGTATATTATTATTATTATTCTCTCCGTGGTTCCATCGGTGTCAGAATTGGTTTAAAGGCCCTCCTTAAGTGGCCCTAGGAGAATCTGTGAAAACTTTAGATTTGTGATTTCTTTATTTCTTCCTCTCTCTTTTTTAAGCATGAAAACCCTGAGGTTCTTACCACTAAAAACTGATGGAAAGAAAGGAAAAGAGAGAGAGAAAGAGGAAGGAAGGAACACAGAGGCAAGGGAGGGAGAGAGGACAGGAGGAAGGGAAGAGAAATTGTAAATGAGAGTGTTATTACGATGACATTTTTCGTGGCAAAGAGTTTCAGGAAATATTTTTGTAATAAATAGAGTACATTCTGCTGCCATTTTCTGGTTTCACTTTACAATACAGAAGGAACGTGGTGCTGAAAAATGATTTAATTGCTATGAAGCACCATGTTGATGCCAAGGTATTAAAGGAGCTTGGCGGGAGAAGTGCGGTTACACCTGTTGGGTAGTGTCCTCATCGTGTTTGAACTCCCTGGTGCGCCGAAGCCCTCTGCTTCTTCAGAATGACGCTGAACTCTGTAGCTGGCCCACCTACCTTTCCTTGCCAGGTGCACGGCTTCTGCATGCTCCACACTGGTGACCTCCGTGCCGTTGACAGCCAGCACCACATCTCCAATCTGGAGCCCGGCTTCCTCAGCGGCGCTGTCTGCAAGTAGACAGACAACAAGGGTCTCATGGAGGAGGGGTCCCATATTGAGTGCCCTGCTGTTTGTCCTCTTTTTAAAAGCCTCTCTCTAAAAGGCCTTTCTTTCCAACTTTAGACAATTGCCTATGTCATTAATAAGAAGGAAAATGCTATCCTCCCAGCCTCCCTTTCATTTCCTGGACGCGGTTTCTTTGCGCATTCAGCCAGGCGTCCGCATGGCCTCTTTGCAATATAATAGCAAGGCTGCTCAGAAACTCAATCTATTCATCCACCAGAAGGTTGAACTGCTAGTTCTCATTCCTTCATTGCTGCTAGGTCTCTTTGTAACCCTGAGAAAATCACTTAACCTCAATATCTTCATCCATAAAAAGGGGGGTGGGGGCAGTGTTTCTCTGCAGGATTGTTGAAGGAACAAGTAATTGAAATACTTATGAAGTTGTGGCAAAAACAGATCTTGGAGTGGTCAGAAAAAAAAAAAAATAAAGAGCTGCTTTTACTTTGTAGAGGCTCCTTTCTGAGCTTTCTCAGAAAGGAAGCCAAAAATAGTCTAAGCCTTAGGATTTAGGCTTTGGAGGTGGGGAGGACCGCTCTGGAGGCTATTTATTTTATCTCCTGGTTTTTTAGCATCTGTATTTACTGTTATATACCTAATATTCTCTCGGGGTAAAAACAAAAAGGGGCATAATAAGCCATTTCAAGGTTAATTCATTTTTAATAAGGTCTCCCATATATTGGACCAAGATTCTTTGTGTAGCAGTTTAAATTTCGTTTTTCTTTTTTACATCAGCTTAAGCCCATTTCCTCTTTTTTAAAATAGTTTTTAATGACTCTTATTTACAATTTAAGTTTGTCTTAATATTTTTAATATTGAAGATTGTATATATTTCAATATATTGAATGTGCGACATATTAAACATTCAATATTTAAAGTTGGTATTTTAATACCAATATTGCTAATATACAGTTATATTAGTTTCAGGTGTACCAATTTAATGAGCAAACACTTCCATACGTCACCCGGTGTTCATCACAAGTGGCCTCCTTAATCCCCATCACCTATTCCCCTATTTCCCCACTCACCTCCCTGCTGGTAACCATCAGTTCTTTGTAGTTCAACATCTGTTTCTTAGTTTTTCTCTTTCCTTTGCTCATTTGTTTTGTTTCTTAATTCCACACATGAATTAAATCATATTGTATTTGTCTCTCTTTGGCTACCTTATTCCATTTAACATTATACTCCCCAGCTGCATTCATGCTGTTGCAAATGTCAAGATTTCATTCTTTTTTTGTGGTTGAATAATATGCCATTGTAAATATATACTCCTCTTCTTTCTCCATTCATCTGTTAATGGACACTTGGGCTGCTTCCATATCTTGGCTATTGTAAATAATACTGCAGTAAACATAGGGGTGCTTCTATCTCTTTGAATTAGGGTTTTTGTATTTTGGGGGTAAATACCCAATAGTGCAATTGCTGGATAATAGGGTATTCTATTTTTAACTTTTTTGAAGGACCTGTATACTGTTTTCCACAGTGGCTGCACCACTTTGCATTCCCACCAACAGTACAAGAAGGTTCTTTTTTCTCCACATCTTTGCCAACACTTGTTGTTTCTTGCGTTTTTGATGTTAGCCATTCTGACAGGTGTGAGGTGGTATCTCATCATGATTTTGATTTGCATTTCTCTGATGATGAATTATGTTGAACATCTTTTCATGTGTCTGGCCATTTGTATATCTTGTTTGGAGAAATGTCTGTTCATGTCTTCTGCCTATTTTTAACTAGATTATTTGTTTTTTTTGGTGTTGAGTTGAATCCATTCTCTATAGATTTTAGATACTAACCTTTTATTGGATATGTCATTTGCAAATATCTTCTTCCATAAGTAGGTTAACTTTTAGCTTTGTTGATTGTTACCTTTGCTGTGCAGAAAATCGTTTATTTTTGCTTTTATTTCCCTTGCCGCAGGAGAGATACCTAGAAAATGTTGCTTTGGCTGATGTTAGAGAAATTACTGACTATGCTTGCTTCTAGGATTTTTTTGGTTTCAGGTCTCACATTTAGGTCCTTAATCCATTTTGAGTTTATTTTTGTGTATGGTGTGAGAAAGTGGTCCAGTTTTACTCTTTTGCATGTAGCTGTCTAGTTTTCCAACACCATTTGTTGACGAGATTATCTTTTTTCCCATTGTATCATTTTGCCACAAGAAAAAGGAATAAAAGGCATCCAAATTCATAAGAAGTAAAACTTTCACTATTTGTAGATGACATAATACTTCATATAGAAAATCCTAGACTCCACCAAAAAACTACTAGAACTGGTAAATGAATTTAGTAAAGTAGTAGGATACAAAATCATTGTACAGAAATCTGTTGCATTTCTATACACTAATAATGATGCAGCAGAAAGTGAAATTAAGAAAGCAATCCCATTTACAATTGCACCAAAAATAGTAAAATACCTAGGAATAAACCTAACCAAAGGGTAAAAGATCCATATTCTGAAAACTATAAAAAAAAAACTGGTTAAAGATATTGAAGAGTACACAAAGTAATGGAAAGGCATTCCATGTTCATGGATTGGAAGAACAAATATTGTTGAAATGTCTATACTACCCAAAGGAATCTATATATTTAAAGAAACCCATGTCAAAATACCAACAGCATTTCTTCACAGAGTTAGAACAAACAATCCTAAACTGTATGGAAACAAATAGCACCACAAATAGCCAAAGCAATCTTAAAAAGGAAAAGAAAAGCTGGAGGTATCATAATTCCAGACTTCAAATTACATTACAAAACTATACTTATCAAAACAGTGTGGTACTGGCACAGAGATAGACACATAGATCAAAAGAACAGAAGACCCAGAAATTAGACACCCACAATTATATGTGCAATTGATTTCAATAGAGGAGGGAAGAATATGCAATGGGAAAAAGTCTCTTCAACTGGTGTAGGGAAGACTGGACAGCTATGTGCAAAAGAGTAAAACTGCACCACTTTCTTAGACTACACACAAAAATAAAATCAAAATGGAATCAGGACCTAAATGTGAGACCTGAAATCATAAAAATCCTAGAAGAAAGCATAGGTAGCAATTTCTCTGACAGTAGCCATAGCAACATTTTCCCTTCCCCTCTCTTTGATCTGAGTGCTGGGTGCAAGCTCATAGACTTGCAGAGCATCATGCAGCAATATTAGGCTGTCAGTATCCAGAGTGTCATAAACCTCCTTGAAGACTTTTAATCTTAAAGCATGACTCAATTGGTGAGGTAACATGACTTTGAATATTTTTAACAATGACTATAGCTTGTCTAAGTCTATTTATGATAGTGGGGGGAGGTATTCTGTGCTTGGATAAGCAACAGTCAATCAATGTAGGAAAGTTAGGTCAAAAGTAATAATTGATATATCCTTAATTTACATAACATCATCCTTATAATAAAGTCTCATGGTATGGTTGACCATTTGAATAAATTTCCTCCATAGTCTTAAAGGACTCAAAGGACTTGTTTATGGCAATGCCTTCTGAACTGAATTCCAAAAGGACAATATATGTTCAGAAATATCTTCTTGCCAATTTTTGTACTCCCTGTGGTAACCATATATGATGTCTCCTATATGCCTATATATCTTCTGATAAATACATAGTGAATGAATGAGTGGATGACCTAAAAATTGTATCTTTGAGGAAGTTAGAATTACACTGCAGAAGATAAGACATGTATAATCAAAAAGAAAAGTAACTTTGCAATACAGTAAGTGGCAAGTGTAAAATAAGTAACAAAGATAATAGGTATTGGGAAATTTCAGAAAAGGGAATTTTCACTTCCATCAGACTGGTTAAGAGATGCTTTCCAAAGGAAGTGGAATTTTGTCTTGACCTTAATGAATAAATAGGTTCTCCTTAAGGGGGAATAATAAAGAGAACATGGTGGCAAAGGCTGCTGGGTATTCACAAACCTAATTCCTCTTCTATCTGGGATCACAGTTGGACAACTTTTCTCAGGATCTCTTGTAGCTGGGTGGGAAAAATGATGGGGTTTTAGCCACTGAAATGTGAATAGAAGTGGTGGGTGCCACTTAGGAGCCTGGCTCATAAAAACGTCCCATGGACCACCTTTCATATTCTTTTCCTATCTTGCTGCGAGATGCAGATGCCTCAGTGCCCTAGGTTAGGCTACAATCAAGAACAAATAAGCTTGCATATGAAAACATTACAGGGGACAAAGTCACCCTCCAACCAAGAACATCCACATTGGACAATTAATGTGAGTGACTAATGAGCCTTTATTATCTTAAGCCGTTAATATTTTTTTGTTGCTAAAACTAGCATAACCTCAAACAGCTGGCACTCCATGAAGGCAAAGTTTTCTGAGCAAAGGTGCATGAGAAGGTTTTATGACATGCCAAAAATTTAATGACTCGGAGCAACTAGAGCAGAAGTGTGGGTGGGTAGGGTGAGTGTGGAAGATTGGAAAGATGGCCAGTTTGTAAAGGGTCTTGGATGTGAAGATCAATTTGTACTTGATATTTCAACAATAGAGATCCATCAAAAGTTTGTGAGCAGAAAATATGTATGCAGTGGTTTTTAGAAGATTGATTTAGAATGGGAAAGGATTAAGATAAGCAGATCAGCAAGGATATTATCAGAATTGATACAGGTCTGCAATGTGACTCTGGACACAGGAACTGGAAATGAATGGAAGGTGTAACATGCTGTTGTGGGACCTAAAACTCTTTATTGCACTTATTTGCCTATCTGCCTTTCTACCCCTAATGGAGTATAAGCACCTCAGAGACAAGTGAAATTGTTTGTTTCTTTGTTCATATATATATATATATACATACATACATACATATTCAGATAGGTACCTCCTGGGGTGCCTGGGTGGCTGAGTCAGTTGGGTGTCAATCTTTGGCTTGGGTCATGATCTCACAGTTGATGGGTTCCAGCCCCAGTCGGGCTCTGTGCTGACAGCTCAGAGCCTGGAGCC